CCCATAATAAGGATTATAGAATTTTTGGGGTCTATATTGGGGTCCCCCTATTTTGGGAAACTACCAAATCTCAGGTTTCGGGTTTAAGGTGTAGCGGGGTTCAAGGGTTTAGGGGTTCAGGGTTTAGGGTGTAAGGGTTTAGGGTTTAGTTTTGGGTCAAGGGCTTAGCTGGCTTTTGTCAGTGGAGTCAAGACTTTTAGCTGGGTTTAGCAAGGACCGCTGAGTCCCAGAGGTGTTTTAGGATCATATCCAGTCAGAAGTGTGAAATACTGCTGGAGTGCGTATGAAGTAAAAGTACGGCTTCATTGGCATTACTTGGGGCACAGGCGTGGGTTTTCGGCAGGGCCTGTGCTTTTCAACGCTGTAAGCTTCAGTTGGCCCCTTCCGCTTGCCAGCAGTGGTGCCGAACCCTAAACCCCAAACCCTAATTCTCCGCAGGGTCAGCCCTACGACTGGTTCAGTCTCGACGACATGGGGTCTCTCATCCAGTCTGAGGAGTTTGCCAGCACCTTGAAGGAGGTGCCCAGGGTTTAAGGTGTAGGGTTTAGGGTTTGGGGTTTAGGTAGCAAGCTCCGGGCCTTAGTCCAAGAGAAATTTGGGGTATAGCCTACTCGAATTCTACAAGGGTACTACTTGGAAGGTCGGGGGGACCTGATAAGTAGGTGAATGACCCCTACAACGCATATAATTGATATTAATATTAACCCTCCTTATCCACAGGAATTATAACCTACATATAAAGTCCCGTGACCTTTCAAGTAGTAGTTGAGGACTACCATCCATGAACTCAAGCTTTCTGTTGGGCCAAGCCGGCGCGGAAGGACTAAACCCTAAACCCCAAACCCTAAACCCTAAACCATGAGGACCTTTATCAGTAAGCCACGCAGTGCCTGGACGCGTCGACAGTTTCGCAAGCATGCATGCTCTCCCACAGTCAATGATGATTGCACAAGTTGCAGCTCACTAACCTTCTTAGCCTAAACCCTAAACCCTAAACCCTAAGGAGTCTAGTTGTCTGCAGCTCCGTCCTGATGAAAGTTGGACATCTGGAGCAGCTTTGAAATGTAACGGGCCTCCTTTTGTCTTTGGAGGGCCCCCCTGCAACTGTAGTGTTTTGCAGAGTATTGAGAATTGGCCTCATCAACAAGGCTCCCACGGTACTAAGGGCTTTGGGGATTCATTTGATGGAGATGGCCTATATTCTGCTAGGACCCCAAAACCAGGCATTGGCCTGGAACTCTTTGGGTAGCTGCCGCATTGAAGAGGGCTTATTG